CTCTACTAGACTACAGGCCCGTGTCAAAAATTGATGGGTCATTTGAATCACCAGGAGACCTATTTAGAAAGATACAAGGGCATAAAATAATAAGATTCAGCACTATGCCGTCACTTGTAAGCTGTCCAACTGAGTGCAGGTGAGAATTCAAAAGAACAGGTAGAGGGAGTAAATTTTGGTCATATATTTTTGTACGGCATTCTTACCATCGATAGATCCATGAAAAATAATATGAAAACACGTAGTGCCGTACAAAAATAGTGCGCCACAAAGTCGGAAAATTTTTTGATTTTCCGGCGATTTTCAGGGTAAATTTGGTCATTTGATTCTGTACGGCATCGGTTCCATACAATTTCAATACCTCTTCTAATCCATTATTCCGCAACGCCGTACAAAAATCATGCGACAAGGGAGAAAAATCGAGGGTTTCAACCCCTTCAGGTTCCGTGGCCCGGGGGGTGATTTGACACAACATAAAATTAATTTATTTTGAAAGTATTTTATGCATAGATAACATTTTGCGACATGCCGTGCATTTTTTTTTGTCCAAGACTGTAGGGGGGAAAAAACTCCCGAAACTAACGAAATGTACTTTACGGTGATATTTAGTACGATATTGTCTTGTACGGCATTTAGATAGTTTATTTGTATTTAATGCAATCGTCTATAAAAAGTCAATACCGTACAAATCTTAAAGTTCATATTGATAAAAAATATCGACATTTGTACTGTTTACAACGACTTGGGCGAAAAGCTTGTTCTTCATTGGCTGCATTCCATGCTTTCACGGGATGTGATTTTAATCCCGCTTTTTATAGGAAGGGTAAAAATAGACCGTTGAAAGTGTTAGAGAAATCTGTGAAGTTCCAAGATGCATTCAATGCAATGGGGCAAAATACGTTTGTTGCCGATCCACTACTCATGGAACAAACTTTCAATGTTCTACAAGAATATGTATGCGTTTTATATAATGTGAAAGCAAGGAAAACCGTCAATGAAGCAAGATTTATTATATTCGATAGGATTTACACACCAAAAAGCACTAATGAAGCTTTTGGAAAGTCGACAATGAAATTGAAAGCGAAATCGTTTCCCCCTTGTTTCCGCGAGTTACAGCAACACATGAAGATAACGACGTATATAGCTCAAATTTGGTGTAATACCTACACAAAAATTCCGTCGACTTTGTTACCAATTAGCTATGGATGGATCTTGAATGATAACCGGTATGATTTCGACTGGTTTCACGGCGAGGAATGTCCCGAAAAAGTCAGTGATATAACTGAAACGTATGAGGAATCAGGACAAGAAGCTGATGACGATATAGGTAAAAAAACGTATCTTTACATTTTTAATTTGTACGCAAGACTTTGATTATGAAAACACATATTCATGTTTCAGAAAATGATAGAGAAGAGAATTCGGACGTCGATGAGGACGTTAATTCCGATGACGACTCAGCTGATTCAAATAATGAATAATAATTTCATTTTTGTACAAATCATTAAATATACTTCAAATTATTCTATAAAATTGTAGTACTTTTTATTTACACAAAGTATATTACATCAAACAGTATACAAAACTGTTGATACTGAGATTGATAGTTTTCAATTTTTGGATATAATATAATATACTGTTTCACTTTAAATAGACGGCATAATGATTTATACATATTATCAATTGTTCTCTTCAAAAATATGTGAATGCCGTACAGTATCAGATGACCATAAAGTACCCCTGAAATGGTAGTGTCATTTTCATCAGCCAAAAAATATGGACTGCATTAAAATGTACGGCATCATTTTTTCTTAATTTATTTACCTGAATACTATTTAAAACAACAATAATATTTAGAAAATTGCTATATTTCATTAATCTATGATTATTTAAACTTTCGCAATAATTTGAAAAATTGCATTTTTTGTTTTTCTCTTTAATTTTTTT